GACGTCATTTAATGAATTTTAACTGAACAATAACTGAATGAGTTTGTTTCACTCTTAGACCAGCAGGGGAACCAAATCTATGAAGACTGCTGCAATAAGTACATTAATTAACTGTCTCATCGATGTTTGTCTGTATGAATATGATAATATTAACAATCATATTATTCCTATCAGCTGTCAATCACTGTTAATAAATAATAATAATAATAATAATAATAATAATAGATTTAATTTGTTAGCGCTTTTACAGGTGCTCAAAGACGCTTTACAGATATAGTGAAGAACTGGTATGATTCACATATTCATTTAGTATTGAATAAACTATATTTTTTGGAGGAGTTAATGATGAATGTTCATCAAGATGCTTGCTCACCCTCCTTCAAATTTGAAAAACAAGTAATTATATAATTATTGATATACAGTTACAACCTTGACTTTACATCAGAAAGAACAAATATTAAATAAGTGACTAACTGCATCAGTTAGGCTTAAAAAACGTGTATTCAGCTAAAACATAAACATCGCTGCAGTTATTATCCAGTGGAAAGTCCTTACCTACTGGCCTAGTTAAATCAAAGTGGTTACTTTTTTTTGGCTGGGCAGTGTAGTTTTACACACCGTCTTATTTTACTTTCTCAGGACTTAAAACAGTTTTTTTGGGGGCAGACCCCCTCAAAGAAAAAAATATATACACGCATACAAGGTCATCATCTTAACAGTTTTGTATGCTCATCGAGTCATCCGTGAGCAGAGCATCAAGTTGGCATGCCTATTACAGCTGAATGCGGCGATTACCATGTTGTTCAGCAAAAAGCCTCACAAACTTATTAAGATCAACAGCTGTAGTGCGTTTTGATTCATTGCTGAGTACAGCCAAACTTGACATTCTCTTCTCTGTCATTGTAGAACGCAAATACCTCATTCCTTCCGTCTACTTGAGTCCGAAAGGCTTCTCGTTTTGCGCCGTCCCCCGTTCAAGTGAATTCGCCACCAATCATATTTCCACTCTCGCGCCAGGGCCGGGGGAGGGGTTACAAGACTCGCGTCTTGTGCTGCATTCACTTGCACTCGGACATTAGAAATTTTCTCTCATAAATGTCCGATGAGCCACAACTTTTCTTTCAAAACAAAGATGCCAACTGGGGTGGCAGCTGGGGTGGCAAGGCTATTGTTTAGGGTGGCAGTTGCCACCCCATGCCACCCCGGTAGATCCGCCCCTGCTTGGTACAAAGTAGCAGTGAAAACATAGGGAGTTTCATTGATTTGGGCATTCTCTAAATAAGCAAGTGGAATGGATTTGATAGTGAAGCACTGATACAGCGCTCTACAGAGAGAGGCGAGTGGATAGACCGATGCACGGACTTTCCACATGGTAAAAGTGGGGGGGACTTGTCCCACCCTAATATAATGGCTGCGACACCCATGCATTGAAGACAATAATAATAATAATAATTAATTGCATTTATTTTAGCGCTTTTCCAAATGCTCAAAGCGCTTATCTTATCAATAAACAACGTCCAAACACCACTTCAAACACTAGGACATCGTGACACAACACTACCGTGGATATTTATAACACTTGTGAAAATATGTACACACAACTGACCTGCAAAACAGGAGAAATGATGAACAACCAAATTCTTTGCTGCTCGTTTGGCGGTGTCACTGTCAACTACCCGATCTGCAGCCCTGCCCTATCTGCTTCTGCACTGCGCATGTGCGAGATGGTCCGCCATATTAGACAACTCCATACAGCAACTTTAATAAATAGGACACTTGACACAGTGGCGTTTGGCAAAGCAGAAAAAGAACACTCAAAAAACCCGACAATATTAATCTGAACGAGAGAGTTATTGTTATTACAACGTGACTTCACTATTATTTAACAACTCCTTTTATTGGGTCCTTTTATTGGGTTAAGTACATAGTCAGAATAAGTGAGAAATTGATTTAACTTCTGTTAGACAGCTGGGTCATTCTACAGAAAAGGTGGAAGTGCTGTCACTTACTTTTGCAGACACCAAAATACATGACGTTGACCTAATACTCACATGCATTATATATGTTGAATAAATAGAGATTGCCTTTGCAATGGTACGAAATTAAAAATTAAATAAAAATTGTTTTATACATAAATTGCAATTTATTTAAAATGCCAAGTTCAAGGAACTGCCTTCTCACTTTGATCATACATGGAAGTGGAGCCTATAGTTTTCATTTAAAATATTTTTTTTTCAATAAATAAATCTCATTCATAACTACATAACATTACATACATTAAATATAACACTGAAATGGTAAAAAAAAAAACGCAAATTATTATTAATAATATCAAATAAATGTCAGTCACCCAAAATTACGTCATTGGTGTTACTGCTACACAAAACGCTTTTATTTTGAAATAATGTACTGTCTCTGAAGTGCCTCCTGTAACAAGAGATCCTTTGAGGCAGTGCAGTGGACAAAGACATAAGTCAGATACTTCTTACTTTGTTTGTTAAAGGTGTCATTTTATCTTCAAATTTGACATGCGTCTTTCAAGTCTGTCATTAGTGTTATTCATTGCATAGCCCTAGGGGTGAACATTTGAATGGGAAAATGTATTGTATTGAAGAGTTAAACGATTTTGATATTGACTGAAGCCATATTTGGTCTGACACATTGCAGCCATTTTGTTAAAATGGTAGTGTTTTCTCCAAATTGTCACTGGTGTTACTCTTCTTCCTGGTAACACGTAACACCAGTGACGTTCCTATATAAATACGCTTTGTATAATGTATACAAATAATACAAATAATAAAAATACTTTAAGCTCTACTTGTTGTGGATTCATCAAGTTAAGAGTTAGTTATTGCTATTTAACAGGTTTTAGATGTGTTTAGAAGGAATATACAGCAGATTTGTATCACCCAGATTCCACCTTTTCTGTAGAATGACTCAGCTATCATACATACTGAAGAAATATTGACTGTGAATGTATGCAATATGTATGGCATTCATAATGTATATCTAATTACATTAACTGTGAATGTCAAATAAAATAACAAAAGATGTTTGTATAGATATTTTAGACGTTTATGACTCGAGCATGCACGATGCAAATCGGGCAGCCGTCTAGACGTCAAATGTCCTATTAGAGTTGCCGTATGGAGTTGTCCAATATGGAGGACCATCTCGCACATGCGCAGTGCAGATCGGGCAGGGGGGCAGATCGGGTAGTGACCAAGCGGCAAACTCTGGGGAACAGTCGGGACGCCAATACGGAAGTACCACACACTGCAGTTCATACATGGGCCGCTAGGGACTGGCTGCAGAAAGGAGCAATTTCCATAGACCCCCATGTTAAAATGCCCAACTTTACAGCAGAAAAAAACATGTTTCTACCCATGGATGCAATACATATTATTATCGATATAGTTAGATTCCACCTTCATGATTATGAATCTGTGAGTAAATTGTTTTCTAACACAACCCTTTTATTTATATTAGGTCTTAAAGTTTTTGCATAAATTAGGGCGTGGTCACTTTGATGGACACGTACATGCCTCACTGTCAGCTAACAGCAACTTGTCCACTCTGCTAGGCTACAACCATAGAGGCTACAACGTTAGTTAGTCATAGTACTGTACTTGACCCTTTAGCTTTAGCCGTGTTCGTTGTGATTGTGCCTTTTAGGGAATATTATTACAAATACCAGACAATTAAAATATCGTGCTGTGCGCTTGAATGTATACAGAACTTCCAAGAAGTCTAAAATGATAATATTATACATGTTAACCCCGTTCGCAGGTGTTTGTGTGCTTGGTAGCTTAGCTTGTTACTTATTAGCCAGCTAAGGACGTAACCCTTTATGCATACATATACATTTTAGTTTATGATTCAGCCTTGGGTAAGACTTTTATAGTCTATGGCTATGACGCCCATAATGCTAAACGGGAGCAAATGTTAATAGGGGACCCAATTATCCCAGTGGTGGCTGCCGGAGCTAACGGAGCCGCAGGGGGCTAGCTCCAGCCAGCGTCCCGGAGCTAGCCCACTGCGGCTCCGTTAGGTCCGGGCGGTGGAGTCCGTCGTTATAACTGGAGATCAAGGAGTGCAGCGAAACGCAGACTTGGTTCGCCTGCTAGCTAAATAAATTCTGTTGAACAAGGCTTATTAAGCTGAACATCGCCACAATTGTTCTGCTATGTATCGGTACTTCTTTTCTTAACGTGTGAATGACAAGCATTAAGAATAACAAAATATAGCTAATTGTTGTATCTTGTGATCAATAATTGTATGTCCACAACGTAGGAGTAGATTGAACTGGTTTACTTTGGTGACATGCTTGCGGGACTTCCTCGTGGGAACATATACCACAGGCTCTTTTAATACCAAGAGTGAGTGTGCCACCTGCTGGACAAATGCAATAACATGTAATAATAACACAAGGTAAGATACCACATTTCCCACATTTAAAACGTTTTTTAAAGCGCAGTAGACCAATTTAAAAACGGGTCTAATAAGCAAAATAAAAATTATAAAATGTCAGTATGCACAAGAAGAATGAGACACACACTAAGAGAGACAGAAACAAATCAACGTGCTGCCATCTTGGAACACACACCTGGGTGCAATGAATGAATGTGTTTACTCTAATAGGTCTTTTCCACTAGACACACATACCATGTATACATCACTTCAGGGGACATTACATTGACTTACATGCATTTCCTGGAGAGACTTATCCTAACCTTAACCATAACCAACACATGCCTAACCCTTAACCTAACCCTAACCAAGTCTTCACCCTAAAATTAATGATTCCCCTTATGGGGACCTCCAATTTGTCCCCATAAGGGAGTCGAGTCCCCACACGTGACTGTGTAAACAGATGTAGGTCCCCACAAGTATAGTAATGCTAGGACACACACACACACACACACACACACACACACACACACACACACACACACACACACACACACAGAATGCCTGAAGAGCTGTTATCATTGAAAATAAACACATTGCTGCACACTCTGCGGTTATTAAAGAACAGTGAATTACTATTCAAACAGATACAATATTCTAGGAAATGAAATTTTATTTGTCTTTAGAATTAAACATCGTTAATATCTCTTACAAAAGTAAAGGTATATAGGTATAACATGTAGTAACAGACAGTCATATGTACAAAGATAACAGTAAACACGTATAAAGTAACTCAAATAAACCTATTGTCTCTTTCTTCACTCACAGTATGAGGATCTGACGCCTTGTGTGTTTTATCAACAGGCTTAAATAACTACTGTGGTTTCAACAATACCTTAAACATCCATTACTTATTATACAGGTGAGTGCATTGAATAGAAACTCCATATTCTATACAAAGGAAACCCTCAGATCTTAGAAACGAAGGAAAGCAAGTTAGTTTGAAGGATGTGTTTGATAACTGTCTCGTGTGCAAGCGTGCAGGAATCTCCTTTTCCACGTGCATTAGTAGTGACAAATCAAAAAGAGACGGACACTTTATTACCCTACTGTTGCTATAGGCAGTAATCTCCATTCCATGTAAAGGCGTGTGTCCACAAAGCAGGTTTTTCTGTGTCTGTTTTCAATAGTTTTAATGATGAGGAAGGTCATAGCTGTTGCATGGGATGGAGAAAAAAGCGATGCAAACCCAACGTTCGTGCAACCACTCTGAGCATTTGTGGTTAAAACACCTCAACTTGATCATTCAAAATGCACTTTTTGATGTCTTTTATGCATCAATGTGTGTCCCCGGTGTGTCAGGGATAATAAAACCCTCTCTCTTTTTCGTCCGTGCCCACATCTCTAAAAACGGGGGAACAACGGAGCTGATATTAAATGTACTTTAATACAGGGGTATCCTCTCTTGCACTTTATGTATCGATGCTGCTATATATTGTATTACCATGTCCTAAATACTTGTATATTCTGCTCTTACTCTTGCATTTTATGTATTTGTACTGCTATGTTTGTAATTTTCATTCATTTTCTTAATGTTTAATGTGAGGGACTGCGGATGGAAAGTAGCTCAGTGAATTAATTATTTAATCAAAGTTTTTCACACTCTCGCGGGAATATCTCCGCAATGGAGCGAGCTTAAGTTTCACTTTCGATTTGTAATCTGTTCTAGAAAAACTGTGTATTTTAGGATGTCAAGAAGCATATAGAACAAACAATGGATGCATGTTATGAACATTTATCCATGCTGGAAGTAGATTTAGATGTTAGGAGTGATATAGAGATTATTATCTAATATATGCATCCGATGAAGCATTGCATGAAGTCTGTTGATGAGCAGAGGCTGTTGTTGGGGCTGCATAAAGAGAAGATGAGAGGAAAGGAGGAGAGGAAAGGAGGAGAGATCAGATCAACCTCGTCTCTTATCGTCTTAATCTCAGCGTTAATCCTGTTCAATCCACGCCTTCCTCTTCACCGGGACTCCCACACTGATTTTCCGTCTCACCCCTTCTTCACTCCTCGGTCTGTCTGTGAATCCCAAGTATTTCCCTCCATTTCCACTCAGAGCAACACCCCCTTGCGTCTGAAGGATCCTCTGCGCTGCATCGGCCGAATGAGAACTCCCAGAATGCCAAGCTCTTCTCCGTGGGGTCCGTCCATCCCCCGGAGAAGCTGCGGGATTCAAACCACAGAGTGCATTGTGGCTTTTACAGGATTCACGAGGATGATATGGAGCTGATTCGGACTCTGAGAAGGTGCTTCGTGCACGGGGAAGTCTGCTGGAGGAGGAGGAAGAAGAAGTGACGAAGAACGAGGAAGGAAGCGAGACTTTGGGGTGAAGGAGACCGATCTTCCTGTGTCTCACTTCCTTCACTTCCTTGGGTTTATCTGCACGTTTCCCCTCCTCACTGATCTTCCTTCTTCTCACCTGAGCTTCTTCCAGTTTGACCTCCAGGTCGTGGACGTCGTCCGTGATCTGGTTGATCTGATCGAAGCGAGAGAGAAGCGATGTGACGCAGGGAAGCAGGCGGTCCAAGTGAGGCTGAACATCGAACGAGTCCTCAGACCTCAGAGAAAGAGAAGAAGATGGAGGACGAGGGGAGGAGGAAGAGGAGGAGGAGGAAGAGGAGGAGGAGAGGGAAGGAGAGCGGGAAGAGAGATGGGATTCCTGCGAGGATCGGGAAGGAGGAGCGTCCATACCTTCAAACTTCACGCTGTGACGAAACTATGAAGGAAAGGAAATGTGTGGAATCAGAAACATTCAGAAAGACAAAAGGTGCAAGGGACACAATGGAGGCAAGGCAAGTTAAAATCTCTCTCTCTCTCCCTCTCCTCTCTCTCTCTCTCTCTCCCCCTCTCTCTCTCCCTCCCTCTCCCTCCCTCCATCCATCCATCCATCTCTCTCTCTCTCTCTCTCCCCCTCTCTCTCTCCCTCCCTCCCTCCATCCATCCATCCATCCATCTCTCTCTCTCTCTATCTATCTCTCCATCCACCCATCTATCTATCTCTCCATCCATCTCTCTCTCTCTATCTATCTATCTATCGAAGTGACTGTTATTTTGTATATATTGATTGTTGTGCTTTTATTTATATGTTAATGTGTGCATATGTATAAATGTGTCTGTTGTGTATATACATAGGTATATACATATTTGTATTCATATATTTGTATTCTGGATTGTGGGAAACGGCATTTCGATCTCTCCGTCTGTACACACAAACTGAAAGATTGACAGTAAAGTTGACTTTGACTCGTAGTGTGTACCTCTTTAGTTTTGGAGAGTCCCATCCACAGTCTGAGTCTCTTGATGAAGAACTCCACCATCTCGTAGTCCTGAGGCTCAAAGGTGGGGCGGTACAGCTGAGCTCTCTCCACCCTTTGAGAGACGACAAAAGTTAGCAGTTAAATCGATTTAAAGTAAAACATTTCAACCAACTCTGTATCATTACCAACCCAGTATCACGGCAAGACGTGAACATGTGACGATTCACCATGCTGGGAGACGTGAAGATGTCACGATTTCGTCCCTTCAAACGTGACAGTTACACGGTATTGTTAACATGGCCCAACCAGTGGAGAAATACCCGGAAATGCCAAGCAAATGCTGTACCCCGACGGTCGGTTGTTATTGTCAATATTAATATAATAATGATTTATTTTTTAATAGTCACACTCGATTACGCCGATGTTCTTGTTGCCCCAGCTGGTCGACACCTCTTCTAGCAGAAACAAAGGCTACATTAATGTATTAAATCGATGTTAATCCAGGTGTGTGGATGTGGAATTAACGGACGTCACGTTGTGCGATTGCGTTGCCAGGCAACAACTTGGCTTCATGTTCATTTACAAACTCTTCAACTACAACCGTTATATTTAAAAACATTTTAGAAGGCCTCACGAAATACTTTAAATGTGAAGGAATGTGTGTATAACAAAATACATCTGTCATAAACAATACCGGAAACAGACGTAGGCAAGATCCTCAGCTCGGTGATTGGATGGTTTAGATGTTAGAGAATAACGAGTAATGAATATACTTTATAGGGATCCTATTCATATCTAATAATACAAATAATGAAATTCAATAACATGCTTTAACCACTAGGTGTCCCTTTATATCAGCTGAGCACCTTTATGGTGTAAATACAGCATATCTACCAATTGGATCAAATATAAAAGTCAGCCGAATTAGTGTTGATACTGCAAGGAGACGTATTGTGTGAAGAGAAATGTAAGATGTTGTTTAATGGCTGATATATTTATGATCCACGTCACGTTTTCAGTTTTGGCGGCATTTCTTCCTGTTTGTCTAGAAGTCTTCTCATCAGGGCTCTATAGAGAACTACGGCAGATATGTAATATTTAATGCAGCCGAACCGTGTATTACAATGCCGTTATGTGATGACTTTCAAAGAGAAAAGCAAGCACACTCGGAATAAAGTATTATTTGAAAAAAAATAATTCGGATTTCACATCACATAAACACCAAATCCCAACGCGCATTGCGGCTAAACCATCGAATCACCGAGCTGAGGATCTTGCCTACGTCTGTTTCCGGTATTTTTTATGACGGATGTATTTTGTTATACACACATTCCTTCACATTTTAATTTTAATTTACATTAAAGTATTTCGTGAGGCCTTCTAAAATGTTTTTAAATATAACGGTTCTAGTTGAAGAGTTTTTAAATTAACATGAAGCCAAGTTGTTGCCTGGCAACGCAATCGCACAACGTCACGTCCGTTAATTCCACATCCACACACCTGGATTAACATCGATTTAATACATTAATGTAGCCTTTGTTTCTGCTAGAAGAGGTGTCGACCAGCTGGGGCAACAAGACCATCGGCGTAATCGAGTGTGGCTATTAAAAAATAAATCATTATTATATTAATATTGACAATAACAACCGACCGTCGTGGTACAGCATTTGCTTGGCATTTCCGGGTATTTGGGCCATGTTAACAATACCGTGTAACTGTCACGTTTGAAATCGTGACATCTTCACGTCTCCCAGCATGGTGAATCGTCACGTGTTCACATCTTGCCGTGATACCGGGTTGATCATTACACCGTGGGTAGAATATGTTTAACTGTTCCTCGTGTTGACACCACCCAAAGCACTTATTTGTCAAGACCTGTCTTTGTTTTCCCCGTTTCATTTGAATTGTCAGTCAGTTTCCTGTTTTACTTTGAAAGGTGTTCACCCCATGTCTCATGTCTGTATTTGCTTCCTGTCTCTGTGTTTTCCCTCCTGTCTGATTGTCGTAGTTTTCGTGTGGTTTGGTTCTGGATGTCATGTTCCTGTTTCTCTTGTCTGCCCTCCTGCTTCCTCCTAGTTCATTCTAGTTTTGCTTGTGTTACATTCCATACCTGCCTCCTTTGTTTATACTGCTTTTGGTCTGCACTCTTGCCAAAACCCTGACATTATTTGCCATAAAAAGGTACAGATTGTACGTCCACATTTCTGAATGCCTGCAAAGTTTAATAGTGTACTTCTGAAACAGACTTTTTGAGTACAGTGGCGTAACTAGCCCAGTGCATTCTGGTTTATAACTTTTTTTAGGGTATACCAGACTTTGATATCCATCCACCTGGATTCATCTTCTTATTATAGTAACATTCATTTCCAAGCATTTGGTCTACCTATGTTGTAAATGTATATCTCTTCAATTTACACACGGCATCTATTGCACGTCTGTCCGTCCTGGGAGAGGGATCCCTCCTCTGTTGCTCTCCCTGAGGTTTCTCCCATGTTCCTTTAAACTGTGGGGTTTCTCTGGAAGTTTTTCCTTGTACGATGTGAGGGTCTAAGGACAGAGGGTCTAAGGACAGAGGGTCTAAGGACAGAGGGTCTAAGGATAGAGGGTCTAAGGACAGAGGGTCTAAGGACAGAGGGTCTGAGGACAGAGGGTCTAAGGACAGAGGGTCTAAGGATAGAGGGTCTAAGGACAGAGGGTCTAAGGACAGAGGGTCTGAGGACAGAGGGTCTAAGGACAGAGGGTCTGAGGACAGAGGGTCTAAGGATAGAGGGTCTAAGGACAGAGGGTCTAAGGACAGAGGGTCTAAGGATAGAGGGTCTAAGGACAGAGGGTCTAAGGACAGAGGGTCTGAGGACAGAGGGTCTAAGGACAGAGGGTCTGAGGACAGAGGGTCTAAGGATAGAGGGTCTAAGGACAGAGGGTCTGAGGACAGAGGGTCTAAGGACAGAGGGTCTAAGGACAGAGGGTCTAAGGACAGAGGGGCTGAGGACAGAGGGTCTGAGGACAGAGGGTCTAAGGACAGAGGGTCTAAGGACAGAGGGTCTAAGGACAGAGGGTCTAAGACAGAGGGTCTGAGGACAGAGGGTCTAAGGACAGAGGGTCTAAGGACAGAGGGTCTAAGGACAGAGGGTCTAAGGACAGAGGGTCTAAGGATAGAGGGTCTAAGGACAGAGGGTCTAAGGACAGAGGGTCTAAGGACAGAGGGTGTCATATTGTCATACTGATATTCTGTACAAACTGTGAAGTCCACTGAGACAAATGTAACATTTGTGATATTGGGCTATAAAAATAAACATTGATTGATTGATTGATTGATAACAGTGTGGCTGGTACCTGTATGCGAGGATAAGAACAGCTCCACAGATTCGGGCCAGTATCCAGACCCCTCCCCCCACTATCAGCAGCCCATAGAGGGGTCCCAGGACCGGGTGAATCCTGCAGAGCGTCCTCATAGAGGCCCGGCCCCGCAGCATGGACAACACGGAGACCCCGGACTGATGAAGAGACAGGAAACCCTCCACTGAGCGGGAGAAGAGCTGAGACAGGGATATGTACTGGATCATCAATGGTGAACATAAACTCGTCAGCATTCACACACATTCAGAGGCTGCCATACAAGCAGCGACACCTGTTGCTTTCTTCCTGACTGACACCAAAGTTATTATTATATTTCGGGACATGGAAGACTTTCAATCGGTTGGAGTCACTTGTTTTTCCACATTATCGTTTTTATCACTTGAATTGTCTAAGTTGTAATGTTATTATCTTTTTGTATCTACCTGTCCCGTGAGAGGGATTCCTCCTGAGGTTTCTTCCATTTTGTATTTTTAGTTTGGGGGGGTTTCCTTGCACCCTTTGAAGGTCAACGGACAGAGAGTGTCATATGCTGTACACACTGTAAAGCCCCCTGAGAAACATGTGATAATGGGCTTTATAAATACGATTTGATAGATTCATTGCAACTACATATCTTCTTTATTTAACATCAAATTGATCTAGACTCTTCTGTTCAGTACCGTGTTTCCGAGGTGAGTGCAGATCATCAGCAGCAGCATCATCAGGACCATCAGAGCCCAAATCTCCCTCCAGGACCCCTGCAGAACCTGAACCAGAACCCCCCACCTCCGCACAAACCTCAGGGAGCCCAGCAGCTGAAACACACAGAGAGAGGAAATCAGATATTTAGTAACGAGGGGAAACCAGTGGATAGGAACGAAGAGCAATACAAAAACTCCAAATCTTGCCAAGTATATTTGTCTAATATACATTTCACACATCCTTAACTCAAGTAGAAGTACACACATCCTTTACTCAAGTAGAAGTACACACATCCTTAACTCAAGTAGAAGTACACACATCCTTAACTCAAGCAGAAGTACACACATCCTTTACTCAAGTAGAAGTACACACATCCTTAACTCAAGTAGAAGTACACACATCCTTTACTCAAGTAGAAGTACACACATCCTTAACTCAAGTAGAAGTACACACATCCTTTACTCAAGTAGAAGTACACACATCCTTTACTCAAGCAGAAGTACACACATCCTTAACTCAAGTAGAAGTTCACACATCCTTAACTCAAGTAGAAGTTCACACATCCTTAACTCAAGTAGAAGTACACACATCCTTAACTCAAGTAGAAGTACACACATCCTTAACTCAAGTAGAAGTACACACATCCTTAACTCAAGTAGAAGTACACACATCCTTAACTCAAGTAGAAGTACACACATCCTTACTCAAGTAGAAGTACACACATCCTTAACTCAAGTAGAATTCACATATCCTTTACTCAAGTAGAAGTACACACCATCCTTTACTCAGTAGAAGTACACACTCCTTAACTCAAGTAGAAAGTTCACACATCCTTTACTCAGCAGAAGTACACACATCCTTTACTCAAGTAGAAGTACACACCATCCTTTACTAACTCAAGTAGAAGTACACACATCCTTTACTCAAGTAGAAGTACACAACATCCTTTACTCAAGTAGAAGTAACACACATCCTTAACTCAAGTAGAAGTTCACACATCCTTTACTCAAGTAGAAGTACCACATCCTTAACTCAAGTAGAAGTACACACATCCTTTACTCAAGTAGAAAGTACACACATCCTTAACTCAAGTAGAAGTCACACAATCCTTACTCAAGTAGAAGTACACACATCCTTTACTCAAGTAGAAGTACACACATCCTTTACTCAAGTAGAAGTACACACATCCTTAACTCAAGTAGAAGTACACACATCCTTAACTCAAGTAGAAGTACACACATCCTTAACTCAAGTAGAAGTACAACACATCCTTACTCAAGTAGAAGTACACACATCCTTTACTCAAGTAGAAGTACACACATCCTTACTCAAGTAGAAGTACACACTCCTTACTCAAGTAGAAGTACACACATCCTTAACTCAAGTAGAAGTACACACATCCTTTACTCAAGTAGAAGTACACACATCCTTAACTCAAGTAGAAGTACACACATCCTTAACTCAAGTAGAAGTACACACATCCTTAACTCAAGTAGAAGTACACACATCCTTTACTCAAGTAGAAGTATCACAATCCTTTACTCAAGTAGAAGTACACACATCCTTTACTCAAGTAGAATACACACATCCTTAACTCAAGTAGAAGTTCCACACTAACATCCTTTACTCAAGATAGAAGTACACATCCTTTACTCAAGTAGAAGTACACACATCCTTTACTCAAGTAGAAGTACACACATCCTTTACTCAAGTAGAAGTACACACATCCTTACTCAAGTAGAAGTACACACATCCTTTACTCAAGTAGAAGTACACACACTCCTTTTACTCAAGTAGAAGTACACACATCCTTTACTCAAGTAGAAGTACACACATCCTTAACTCAAGTCAGAAGTACACACATCCCTTACTCAAGTAGAAGTACACACACATCCTTAACTCAGTAGAAGTACACACATCCTTACTCAAGCTAGAAGTACACACATCCTTACTCAAGTAGAAGTACACACATCCCTTACTCAAGTAGAAGTACAACACATTCCTTAACTAAGTAAGTTCCACACATCCTTTACCTCAAGTAGAATTCACACACGATCCTTAACAATCAAGTTAGAAGTACACACATCCTTTACCTCAAGTAGAAGTTACACACATCCTTACTCAAGCTAGAAGTACACACATCCTAACTCAAGTCGAAGTACACCCCACATCCCTTTACTCGAGTAGAAGTACACACATCCTTACTCAAGTAGAAGTACACACATCCTTAACTCAAGTAGAAGTTCAACACATCCTTAACTCAAGTAGAAGTACACACACAGTCCTTAACTTAAAGTAGAAGTTACACACATCCTTTACTCAAGTATGAAGTACACACATCCTTAACTCAAGTAGAAGTACACACATCCTTAACTCAGTAGAAGTACACACATCCTTTAACTCAAGTAGAAGTACACACATCCTTTACTCAAGTGAAGTACACACACATCTTACACTCAAGTAGAAGTACACACATCCTTTACTCAGTAGACAAGCTAACCACATCCTTACTCCAGTAGAAGTCACACATCCTTCCATACCACTCCTTACTCAGATAGAAGGACCACACATCCTTACTCAAGTAGAAGTACACACATCCTTAACTCAAGCAGAAGTACACACATCCTTAACTCAAGCAGAAGTACACACATCCTTAACTCAAGTAGAAGTACACACATCCTTAACTCAAGTAGAAGTACACACATCCTTACTCAAGTAGAAGTACACACATCCTTAACTCAAGTAGAAGTACACACATCCTTTACTCAAGTAGAAGTACACACATCCTTAACTCAAGTAGAAGTACACACATCCTTAACTCAAGTAGAAGTACACACATCCTTAACTCAAGTAGAAGTACACACATCCTTTACTCAAGTAGAAGTACACACATCCTTTACTCAAGTAGAAGTACACACATCCTTAACTCAAGTAGAAGTACACACATCCTTTACTCAAGTAGAAGTACACACATCCTTAACTCAAGTAGAAGTACACACATCCTTAACTCAAGTAGAAGTACACACATCCTTTACTCAAGTAGAAGTACACACATCCTTTACTCAAGTAGAAGTACACACATCCTTAACTCAAGTAGAAGTACACACATCCTTAACTCAAGTAGAAGTACACACATCCTTAACTCAAGTAGAAGTACACACATCCTTAACTCAAGTAGAAGTACACACATCCTTAACTCAAGTAGAAGTACACACATCCTTAACTCAAGTAGAAGTACACACATCCTTAACTCAAGTAGAAGTACACACATCCTTTACTCAAGCAGAAGTACACACATCCTTTACTCAAGTAGAAGTACACACATCCTTAACTCAAGTAGAAGTACACACATCCTTAACTCAAGTAGAAGTACACACATCCTTAACTCAAGTAGAAGTACACACATCCTTACTCAAGTAGAAGTACACACATCCTTAACTCAAGTAGAAGTACACACATCCTTAACTCAAGTAGAAGTACACACATCCTTAACTCAAGTAGAAGTACACACATCCTTTACTCAAGTAGAAGTACACACATCCTTTACTCAAGTAGAAGTACACACATCCTTAACTCAAGTAGAAGTACACACATCCTTAACTCAAGTAGAAGTACACACATCCTTAACTCAAGTAGAAGTACACACATCCTTTACTCAAGTAGAAGTACACACATCCTTACTCAAGTAGAAGTACACACATCCTTTACTCAAGTAGAAGTACACACATCCTTACTCAAGTAGAAGTACACACATCCTTTACTCAAGTAGAAGTACACACATCCTTAACTCAAGTAGAAGTACACACATCCTTAACTCAAGTAGAAGTACACACATCCTTAACTCAAGTAGAAGTACACACATCCTTAACTCAAGTAGAAGTACACACATCCTTTACTCAAGTAGAAGTACACACATCCTTAACTCAAGTAGAAGTTCACACATCCTTAACTCAAGTAGAAGTACACACATCCTTAACTCAAGTAGAAGTACACACATCCTTTACTCAAGTAGAAGTTCACACATCCTTAACTCAAGTAGAAGTACACACATCCTTAACTCAAGTAGAAGTTCACACATCCTTAACTCAAGTAGAAGTACACACATCCTTTACTCAAGTAGAAGTTCACACATCCTTAACTCAAGTAGAAGTTCACACATCCTTAACTCAAGTAGAAGTACACACATCCTTTACTCAAGTAGAAGTTCACACATCCTTTACTCAAGTAGAAGTACACACATCCTTTACTCAAGTAGAAGTACACACATCCTTTACTCAAGTAGAAGTAGAAGTTCACACATCCTTTACTCAAGTAGAAGTACACACATCCTTAACTCAAGTAGAAGTACACACATCCTTAACTCAAGTAGAAGTTCACACATCCTTTACTCAAGTAGAAGTACACACATCCTTTACTCAAGTAGAAGTTCACACATCCTTTACTCAAGTAGAAGTACACACATCCTTAACTCAAGTAGAAGTACACACATCCTTAACTCAAGTAGAAGTTCACACATCCTTTACTCAAGTAGAAGTTCACACATCCTTTACTCAAGCAGAAGTACAGATACTCGTGTTTAAAAATACTCTGGTGAAAGTAGAAGTACTGACTAAACTTCTTTACTCAAGTCAAAGTAAAGAGGCTTTGAAGTGTACTTCAGTAAAAAGTACCCATAACTAGCAGCTGCTTTAAAGAGTACCTGACCTCCCTTTATATCAATAGAACAATAATGTCATTGTTAGCTAATGAATGTTTCCATGCTGAACAACGGCAACATGACAACGTTTCCATTGGTCCCTCTTCTTTAGAGTGTTGTACTCCACTACTTCCCACCTCTGCTTATATCTCGTCAGGATACGTCTCTACTCCTGATATAAGACATCATAACTTCAGAAGTTGCACTGCAGTGAGATATCAGGTCATCTTATCTAGCTAATTACACGATCTGATTCATCTAAATACCCCTTCTCACCAAGCACATGTTCACTTGTTGGCAGGTTTGTTTACTTATTTCAAGTGAAAACAGCTTGAATTCATGTTTGTTTAACTTGTTTTTGGAGCAGTGTTTTCTCCAGTGATGTGTTTACCTTCAGAAGCAGCAGCGTGAGCAGGACAGCGGCACTCTGAGAACTCCTCTCTGACAGCAGGGCCGCCGGCAGGAAGTCCACGAAGCTGTCGGGATCGGATCGGAGCTAAACAACAACAACAACAACACAGGTTATTAAAAAGTCACAAAAGCAAAAACATAGGACATCTTAACTGAAATGGACTTTTACATATTTTTCTTTGTTATAAAAAAGTATAGGCTGGTGTGTTTATGGCTGATAAATGAAGCTACAATAACAGGGGTCAAATGAAGCTGACACTGACTTTTTAGACATTAAACTACCACTAATTAGATAAACCTTGTTCAGTTGACATCGATATTGTTCAGCCCGTTTAACCTTGAAAAAAAAAATCCTCAGATGGCTACTAAATATACTTAGAAGAACGAGGGGTCAATAGAAGCCCTGCAAGACTATTTTCAGCATAAGCCCCCACTAAGTGGTTCAGTTTGGACTCATTAGCTTAACGTACTGCTTGTTCAGTTGACATTGATATTCTTCACCTTGTGTAACCTTAAACTATGAAAGGAAACTTTCACATAGCTCCAGAGTAAACGAAGAATCAAAAATACTCAGAAGATACTGGATGCATTAAGGTGAATAGGTCCGTATTAAGTCTTATGTGTTCATACTTACCTTACTATTTAATACACTTAAAGGATTTGCTCAGAGGAGTAGTGGAAAGGTGAGACTGTTATGCAGAAGTGTTGTAAGGTTTTAGTGCAATCACTTGTGTTTGGGAAGTAGAGAACATACGAATAGAAACATGAAATATCGATTAAACTGTATGGGTTGTGGGAGAGTTTATAAATGGATGTTTTGATAGAGTTTTGCTGTTAAACTCGGCCGATAATTCCTCAAATTCATCAGGATTTTTCTCCGTTTCATTGATCCTTCCTTCACACTGGATGCATGCAAGAAATTAAAAGCTTTCTTTCAAAGAGTCAAGGTACACAGGGTGAGTATTTGATGAACAAACGGCCATTTTGTGGCTTAAAAATCCTCTAAAAGTGGTTTCTGTTGTCATTTCTCACCTCAGAAACACAGTTAGATGCCTGAGACAGGAAGCAGAGCTGCAGGATTGAGGTTGTTAGAGACAACAAAGCCAGGAGGAGCTGGAACCAGTTTCTGAACCTTCGAAAGTACTGGGAGCGCTCAGTAAACATCGACCAAAACCCCCCGAACAACATGAGGAGAGCGGAGACCAGGAGAAGCACCTGCAGCAAGAGAGACATCGATTTTATCACTGAAATAATGTTTGAATCTTTAGCTAAGTTGTGTCACGCGATTAAAATTCCCTATGGTGTTGTCGTGGATCCGATGTAACACTAACAACATTAAAGAATAAGACAAAGAGGAATCAATAAAACACAGAGATGGTTGAAGTTAAATAGGATATTACTGTACAGCAGTATAAGAGACACATTACCTTGCACCAAAGCAGTCAATAGTCTAATGTCCTGTAGACCAAGAGAATCTTACGGCTTATATACACCTCAAAAACTCATAATCTTGCCAAGTATATGTGTCTAATATCTAGTCAGAATATGTCTCTACACCTGATATAAGACACAATAACTTCAGAAGTAAAACTGCAGTGAGATATCAGGTCTTGTTTTTAGACAACGTATCATCTTGTTAAGTCAAATGATCTCATTTTGAGTTGTGTCTCAGATGAAACACATATTTATTTACATATTTATTAGAAAATCACCAACTAACATCAGAAAACAGAAAACTTTTGAGCATTTGCGGCTTATTTTGTAACAAAATGTCCTGATTCTGGTCAAATATAGTTCAAAATGAGTTCTCCTAGCTAACTACAAGATCTCATTCATCTAAATATCCCTTCTTATTTCAAAAAAATCTTACCAAGCTAATGTTCACTTGCAAGAAACTTAGGTATCATTTTAGACTGACCTCAATTGTAACAGCCACATCAGGGCAATCAACACATCAGCCTTCTACCATCTAAAAAATATCTCGCGTATTAAAGACCTTATGTCGAAGCAAGACCTTAAAAAACTTGTCCATGCATTTGTTTTTAGCAAACTTGACTACTGCAACAGCATCTTCACAGGCCTCACAAAAAAAATCCAACTAATTCAAAATGCTGCTGCCAGAATCTTAACCCGGACAAAGAAAACAGATCACATCACTCCAGTGCTGAGATCGCTGCATTGGCTTCCAGTTAGTGAGAGAATTGATTTTAAGATTTTAATGCACACATATAAAGCACTAAACGGAATAGGACCCAAATATATCAAGGACCTCCTTCAGTGGTAGGAACCCAGCAGACCCCTTAGGTCTTCAGGCCAGCTCACTGATCCATTGGTGAGAGCGTGGGGAAGCAGCCTTCTCTATGCTCCTGATGCGGAACAAACTCCCAGAACATCTGAGAATGGCTAGCACTTTAGAATCATTTCAATCAGGTCTAAAAACATTTCTTTTTAATATGGCTTTTCAAATTTAAATGTTATGAAACTTAGCGCAAGTTCAATGAGGAAGACCAATACCCCCTGGTGTTACACGTCACTTCAATCTCTCTTCCCATTAAGTACTCAGGGGCGTTACTCCCCAGCTAGCCAATCATCGCACCTGCTAACCCTTTAAATCTGCTCTTCCCTCTGTCAGTCGTCATTTCAGGTGTCAACACACAACCCGCCTCCACCCCTTCGCCTCCTGTCTCCTAATTCAGGGCCAAGCTAATCCTTCTTCCTCCAGACCAGACCGAACCACTTATCACCACCACCAGTGTCTAGACCCGGGGGGTTCATCGGAGCGGTTTTCCCCTCCTGAATGATATCCTACAAACCGGGGCCTAATCTCCAAACATCAGTTAATTCATTGTTGTAATCTGTCAATCATAATTTTCTTATACCACGTGTCCCGGTAATAAACATGTATTTCATACATCACGTCTCTCCTGATTGAACTAATCTTCGAACTGTTAAACATGGTTTTCTTTCTTTTAATTAATTATTTTGTGTGTTTTGTATTTCTTCTCAATGTATTGTGTTTTCTCTGTTTGATCCTGTAAAGCACTTTGAATTGCATTACTGTATGAACTGTGCTATACAAATAAATGGCCTTGCCTTGTTCTATTAGTAGATTGTTGGACTTATTTCAACACATGATTATATACAACAGATTTGTTGCAAGGATTGCCGACTTATTCCAGGTTCTAAAGACTCAGTCCTGCACCACATTGAAAAGTGTGTGTGTTACCGTGAGTGCTGCCTGCAGGTCGGGTCCAGAGTGAGGAGAAGGGATGAGGAAAGGAAGGATGGAGAGGAAGGAGGCGAGTCTCTGTGAGCGTACCCACTCCAGTTTGATGGAAACACACACAAACAAACCGGACTCTCTGTGGAAGTGTGTGAAGTCGAGGGAAAGGGTTTTAAACCTGGGAGGAAAATGGGATTTAAAACAACAGAAAAGACAATAATTAGTGGTTTCATTTGAAAACAGTAGCATGTATTGTTTGATTTGCAGGGATGCATGTCATCTAGGTACACAACTTGCAACACAACTGTATATATTTATATTAAATGAATAAAAAGTATACATATCATCAAAGAAAGTTATTTCTCTCCTTCTGCATCTTTTCTTGTTCTTTCCGTAACTTATCCACTCACTGTGTGTTGGTCCACTCAGACATGTGCAAGTCATTGAAGAGCTGCTGTGTTGTTACGCTGCTGTTTCCCAGATACACCGTTTCCAGAGGAGGCCGAGTGTGTGTGTGAGGACGTAGAGTGTGTGTGTGAGGAGGCAGAGTGTGTGTGTGAGGATGCAGAGTGTGTGTGTGAGGAGGCAGAGTGTGTGTGTGAGGAGGCAGAGTGTGTGTGTGAGGAGGCAGAGTGTGTGTGTGAGGACGAGGCAGAGTGTGTGTGTGAGGACGCAGAGTGTGTGTGTGAGGACGGAGAGTGTGTGTGTGAAGAGGCAGAGTGTGTGTGTGAGGACGCAGAGTGTGTGTGTGAGGAGGCAGAGTGTGTGTGTGAGGAGGCAGAGTGTGTGTGTGAAGAGGCAGAGTGTGTGTGTGAGGACGCAGAGTGTGTGTGTGAGGAGGCAGAGTGTGTGTGTGAGGACGGAGAGTGTGTGTGTGAGGATGTAGAGTGTGTGTGTGAGGATGCAGAGTGTGTGTGTGAGGACGGAGAGTGTGTGTGTGAGGAGGCAGAGTGTGTGTGTGAGGACGGAGAGTGTGTGTGTGAGGAGGCAGAGTGTGTGTGTGAGGACGGAGAGTGTGTGTGTGAGGATGCAGAGTGTGTGTGTGAGGATGGAGAGTGTGTGTGTGAAGAGGCAGAGTGTGTGTGTGAGGAGGCAGAGTGTGTGTGTGAGGACGGAGAGTGTGTGTGTGAGGATGCAGAGTGTGTGTGTGAGTATGCAGAGTGTGTGTGTGAGGACGGAGAGTGTGTGTGTGCTGCAGACGGGGTAATCCAACAAGCTGAAGTGTTGGGTTTTGGTGAAGGTGAGGCACCAAAGTCTGGATCATCCACTGCTCAGCGTCTGACCAGCTGCATGAAGAGAGAATAAGATAAGATGGACTTTTATTAATCCCTGTGGGGAAATTGTTTCTCTGCATGTGACCCATCCTGTGTTAGGAGCAGTGTGCTGCCATTTTGAACAGCGCCCGGGGAGCAGTGTGGGGAACGGTGCCTTGCTCAGGGACACCTCGGTAGCACTTGGTCTTGCCGGGACTTGAACTGGTGACCTTCCAGTTGCCAAGCCAAGTCCCTATGGACTTCGCCACCACCGCCCCGAATGGATTTAAATGTTGGATTGTGTGTGTGTGTGTGTGTGTGTGTGTGTGTGTGTGTGTGTGTGTGTGTGTGTGTGTGTGTGTGTGTGTGTGTGTGTGTGTGTGTGTGTGTGTGTGTGTGTGTGTGTGTGTGTGTGTGTCATTTGACCATGCTTCTTAATGTTTTCGACATGTAACTCTATAACGACAACTTTTGACACAGAATAGTTGACATTTTAGCAATGTTTTGTTCAATGTAAGATTTAAACCATTCCAACTTCGGCAACTGCTATTCAAAATCAACAGCAAGGCCACAAAATATCTTTCTTCCTGGTAGCATATTGAAACTGTGTAAAAGCGGAGATTATAATATGTCCAGAGGAACAAGCTGAGTCTGAAGGTTTTATGTAAATACTTATTATTTGCATTATTTTTTAATGTTATTATAGTTTTCTTGAAATAGTTCTCTGTGTGTTTTTGTTAACTTGTGCACCATGACACCAAGTCCTCGTACGTGTCAACCTGTTGGTGATTCGGATGATTGTTTAGTGTTTCTACAGCGTGTCCCTTACCCCCTGAGTGAGGTGAGGTTCTGCCCCCCCCCCCTCTGAGTGAAGCTCCCGTCTGACGGAGGATCTCAGCAGCCGAGCGTCTCTCTGCTCCACCCCGGCCTGATAGTTCAGCATCAGAACCAGCAGCAGGAAGGACAGCTGGCTCACACAGCGCTGCAGGAAACATTTATAATTATTATTATATATACAATATATTTATAGATATACATTTACACTACTTTATTTATGTAGGAACTATTTAGGTTTATTTTGTTTTCAATGTATCGTGCAGTACATAGGGATGAATAAATGGCTGGAGACAGACTGACCAACACTCACTTGCAGAATTGGAAAACATGCATAACACTTCCAATAAACCACAAACTATAGCGATGTGAAAATCCTCCGTTTTCGGTCTGTGTTTGATCCAAAATACCACCTTTCTATTAATGTCAAGAAGCAAATGAGGAAATTGGGGGAAATCAAAGTTGCCATTTAAATCTTAAACGTTGGGACCCCCTCACCCTCATGAGGGCCCTCAGAGCTCTGAGTTTGCGCGCCTCCTCTCTGGCCTGCAGCAGACTGAAGCCACAGGGGGGCCGGACCCTCCCTCCATCGTCTCCAAACCCCCTCAGATCCACCGAGCTCTGCAGAGCCAGGTGATCCTCCACCTCTGGGTCCACAGGCCTCCACCATAATGTGCAGATCAGAGCCTGCACACACACCTGAGCAGAGGAGAGATTATTATGAAGACTAGAGAATGCAATTCCTGGAGAAATGGCGGTCTGATGATGAAACGACAACGCTCGCTTGAATGTGTAATAAAAAAACTGAGCGTGTGTTATGCTGCAATAACTAGCTGATATGAATCTTATGGACGTTCTTTCAAAAGTTCAGGTGTGTAACAGTGTGACAGAGTGACTGACTCCGCCACTGACAGCCGACACACACACACACACACACACACATACCATGTATACATCACTTCAGGGGACATTACATTGACTTACATACATTTCCTGGAGACTTATCCTAACCTTAACCATAACCAACACATGCCTAACCCTTACCCTAACCCTAACCCTAAAGTTAACCAAGTCTTCACCCTAAAATGAATGATTCCCCTCATGGGGACTTTCATTTTGTCCCCATAAGGGAGGCGAGTCCCCACACGTGACTGTGTAAACAGATTTAGGTCCCCACAAGTATAGTAATGCTAGACCAACACACACACACACACACACACAGACACACACACATACACACACACACACACACACCAAACATTTCCTGCTCTCTTCCGTTCGTCGTGCGGCCGCCGTCTCCCCAGCAAAGGGAATGTGGAAAAGACGGAGGCGCATCACTTCCGTGTTTTAAATAGGATGTCATGAACCATGCAATTTCTTATTTATTTTACGTTTGTTAATTATGGGGAATGATTGTGTTCAGAGGTAGTTAACCTGTTTATGTTTGGGTCGGATTTTTATGTTGACATTGTGGTTTTGAGCTAATTGTGTCACCTGTTGACGGTAAGCCTGGGGGAGGGGCTATGGGTTCAAAAGGGATGGTGTTGGCCCTGGAGGAGGGCACTGGGAGAATGTTGCAGTGAAGGCAACAGCCAGAGCATGTTTACTCTCCATGAGTGATGGACGGCCTGATTTGGTGACTTTTATTTTGTTTATTTAAGTTATACTGTTCCCCTTTTGTCAAACAGTATATATTTTTTGTTTTGTGGCTGTTAAAAATAAAGTTTTTGGAGCTTAATGCAACCGACTAAGCCTACGTTTTCATACGGACAAATAGAACCCCGTCACAGTCTGATGGCCTGTGGAATGAAACTGTCCCTGAGTCAGCATTCACACCAATGAAAGGAATTATCCACCTGAGATTTGGGAGTGATTTAACTCGCCTTGAGAGGCTCCAGCAGCAGAGCAGAGGTGAGGAACGCAGAGAGAGACGACAGCAGCCACATGAGGACGAGCGCTCTGGAGAAGGAGCTGCCGTACAGCCCAATAACAGCCAGAGAGGCGATGAGAAGTGAACCCAGCAGGGGGTACATCACTGTGAGAGTCCAGGGGGGGAGCAGCAGGCCGGGGTCCCCTCGAGATACACCTGGAGCAGAAGATATCTCAAAGGTGACATCGATCATCAGAACTATCAAGTTTCTACATGCACTTAAAAGAAGACACATGGACAGATTGTGGAAGTTTGCTAGAAGTAATAGATCAACACTTTAAATGGTTAACTAAAAGTAACGGATACATACTTGAAATGTCAGATAAACTCAAAGATAAACAGTTTAAATAGTTTGTAAAGTCATTGATTATTTAGTGAACAGTTTAAAAAGTAGGCTAAAAGTCGCCTAATGGATCCCAGTTTGAATTGTAAACGTAAAGTCGCCTTACAGATGGATTGGTAACCTTATCAAATAATTAGTAATGAAGAACTTAGATCGTCGGAATCTAAATAACGTCCAGAGCTGTTTCAGGTTTGGTGGATGATTCCTGCAGGGTTGAGGGTGCTATAATATATGTTCATTTAAATTCATTTCCTATTTTATAGTTACTTAATCTGTATATAATTGTATTTTTTATTTTGTCTTGAATTGTATTAATCTCTAATCTGTGCTGTCCTGTTTTTCATTCTCACCCTGTTGCTGTTTAAACTACTGAATTTCCCCACAGGGACTAATAAAGGTCCATCTTATCTTATCTAGGGAGGCGTGTGGTGCAGTGGGTTAGTGCGTTGGTGTTCGCATCAGGGGGTCACAGGTTCAAACCCCACTGCAGTCAGCATGTGTCCCTGAGACACTTCACCCCAAATTGCTCCTGTGGGGATTGCCCACAGTATTGAGTGTGGAAGTCGCTTTGGATAAAAGCGTCTAACAAGTGATGTAATGTAATCTTATTTTATCCAATAATAATAGATGGGATTTAAATAGTGCTTTTCCTAATGCTCAAAGATGCTTGTACCTATGCGCGTGATGGAGGGGGACCTGCTGGAGTCTGGAGACGGACTGGGGAGGAAGGTGCTGGCCACCGAGTCCACGGAGATCACAGAGGGAGACCTGAAGAGTCCAAACACAGACTCACTGACCTCAGACCAGCTGCTGCAGGACCTGCTGCGCCTGAAAAATACACAAAGTCACAGTCATGCATATTCTGATAAACACTGATATGCATAAAATGGGAGTTGCATGAGCGACAGATGCTCACGTGGTGGAGAGAGAGGAGATGGTTCGAGGAGAGTCTCGCCCGCTGTCTGAGGTGCTGTGATTTAAATCTGCTGAGTCCTCTGATGCTGCTGCGATAGACATCAGAAGATCCTCCTCTGCCACACACACACACACACACACACACACACACACACACACACACACACACACACACACACAGCACACACACACACACACACACACACACACACACACACACACACACACACACACACACACACACACACACACACACACACACACACACACACACACACACACACACACCTCTATATTATATACATATTTCTATTTATTATCTGCTAATTGAAATTGGCAGTGAGGAAAAATATGTGACAATATCTAAAAGTATTGCGGAGCTGCCGAGAAGTCTTTGTTTGGTAGACATTTTCTAAAAGTAATCAGACACTGATCGTGTATATAATATATGTTTCAATTAAAATATGAATAATGTTTCCAAAATGGTCATTTCCTAAAATATTCTAATTGCAATATCAATTAAAATAATTGCAATTAGGTGTTATTTTTCCCAATCAGCCGTATTCTTGTTATTGGCTACAATGTGGGATTTTATAATAACAATTTAATTTGTACTGTAATGTTATTATCTACTCAATTAACCTCATGTTGCTTATTTTAAACTATACAACACTCACTCTGACACTGGTTGCTTTGAGACTTTTCAGACCCTACATGATTATTAAATTGAACTTTTTCGAGTTTAATTGAGTAGGTGTTTTTTCCCAATCCACCTTATTCTTGTTATCGGCTACAATGTGGGATTTTGTAATAACCATGTTGTACTTTAATGTTATTTTTAAGCAGAATACTCAATAAACCTGACTGTATTTTCTCACGTTGCTTATTTGAAAGTATACAACACTCTCTTTGACTGAGACGCACCATATGCACCCTCCATGATTATTAAATTACACTTTTTCAGAGTTTAATTGAGCAGTTTCTCACCAGACAGCGTCAGAAGCGTGGTCAGATTCTGGCTGTGAACGTGCACTAAGTTGCTCTTCATGTTTTGGTTTGTAGGCGTTTTGTTGGAGGCGGGTGCAGCGAGGCGGATCTGCTTCTTCCTCCTCAGCTGACGGGATGAAGGTGAAGCCTTGCAGAGGATCGCGGTCTCAGTGGTGCATGCTGGGAGGTTGAGGAGGCTGTCACATGACATCTTATCTTTCTGCGGGGCCAAACCAGACGCAGCCCAGAAGTCCAGAATACTGGAGTCCAACGCCTTGCTGTCCAGTAACTACAGGAGGTAAGTTAAGGTAAGGTAAGGTAAGAAAGGTAAGAAGGAAGGTAAGGTAAGGTAAGTTAAGTAAGGTAAGTTAAGGTAAGGTAAGTAAGGTAAGTTAAGTAAGGTAAGGTAAGGTAAGTTAAGGTAAGGTAAGTTAAGGTAAGGTAAGGTAAGTTAAGTTAAGGTAAGTTAAGGTAAGGTAAGTAAGGTAAGGTAAGTAAGTAAGGTAAGGTAAGGTAAGTAAGGTAAGTAAGGTAAGGTAAGTTAAGGTAAGTAAGGTAAGGTAAGTAAGGTAAGGTAAGGTAAGTTAAGGTAAGTTAAGGTGCGTTTATTTATAAAGCACATTTTCAGACACAGAGGCAATTCAAAGTTCTTCACATCATCATTAGCACTTAACATCATCATTAGCACTTAACATCATCATTAGCACTTAACATCATCATTAGCACTTAACATCATCATTAGCACTTAACATCATCATTAGCACTTAACATCATCATTGGCACTTAACATCATCATTAGCACTTAACATCATCATTAGCACTTAACATCATCATTAGCACTTAACATCAAAGAGATGCAGAATAGTTTCAAACAGTTTCTCCTCATCAATAAAGACGACTAAGGAGGAGAAGAACATTCTGTATGTGTTGTTGAAACTAATTATCCCAATGCTAGAAGTCTGCAGGCGGAGAAAGAAACTATTTTAATACTTCAAGTTTCTTCATTATTAACAATCATGGAGGCAAAGAAAAACTGTAGTCCATCAGAACAGCTGAATGGAAACAGCAGGAATATACATTTAAAAAAACATATAATACTGAATATAATGCACTTGGAAATGTGTGTGTGTGTGTGTGTGTGTGTGTGTGTGTGTGTGTGTGTGTGTGTGCGTGTGTGCGTGTGTGTGTGTGTGTGTGTGTTGTGTGTGTGTGTGTGTGTGTGTGTGTGTGTGTGTGTGTGTGTGTGTGTGTGTGTGTGTGGTGTGTGTGTGTGTGTGTGTGTGTGTGTGTGTGCGTGCGTGCGTGCGTGAGTGCTCACAGATGACGGGCCGGAGGAGGAGTCAGAGAGAGACAGGAAGGACGGGCCGGAGAGATCTGATTGGCCGAGGAAGACGTCCATCTCCACAGAGTGACAGACGGGGGAGGGAGGGACGGACGTATCCACGGTTACCTGGAGAGGGAACAGAAGAGGGGATCAAGTAAGTGTTAAGAAATACTGTATACTGTAATAACATGATATATGGAAGTGGATTTCTGATACATGTGTTATTCATGTGTGCAGGAAAAGAGCAAATCATTATTAATTGCACCTTAAAATTGGTTCCTAATGAAGTCATTACAGTTTGTTTGATTGTTTGTTTATCCATTATATGTTTATGATGCTTCAGTGAATACGTATGCATGGCTACCAAAAAAGAAACACTTAGTAAAAGAACATTCAGAAAAATTAGAAATAAATGAAAATACAACAAAATTATAGTTACATTTAAAAATAAAATGTAATATATCTTAAATAAAATAAAATAGTATTAAAAATTTAGAGAAATAGAAACACAAGTATATTTAAATTATAAAAGCAATGAGAAGTATGTAACTCAATATAAAATGGAAAAGTACATACACACACACACACTCACTAAGATTAAACTGTTTGTCAAACAAATCTTTGTTCAAATCACACACACGTCTCTGTGCTGACCTCTAATGACCTCTAATGACCTCTAATCCGAAGCCAGGCGCAGAAACAAAGCACAGAACTGCAGGATTATATTCACCTGACTGTGAGACTTTCTGAAGAGGAAACAGAGGAACCACTGCAGAGGAAACACCAGAGCAGCGACCGTCATCCCAACAGAAACAGCCTCCATGTTCACCAGCAGCCGCGCTGACACCGGGCCACTGCACACAGAACAATTGGGGATCGTAAAAAATATGTATTTATAAAAAAAAGGAAAATTCTGAGTAAATATCCTTTTCTGAGAAAAAGTCAAAAATCTGTAAAAAAAAAGTCACATTCTTCAGAAAAAGTCAAAGTCTCAAAAAAATGTCAAATTCTGAAATAAAAGTCAAATTCCGAAATAAAAGTCAAATTTTGAAAGAAATTACATTCTGAGAAAAAAGTAAAATTCTCAAACAAAACGTAAAATTGAAGAAAAAAGTCAAATTCTAAAAAAAAATCATATTCTGAGAAAAAAGTCAAAAATCTGCGAAAAAAAAAAGTCAGATTCTTAAAAAATAAAAAAAATAGTCAAAAAATAGTCAAATTCTAAAACAAAAGTCAACCCAGAAAAATAAATACATTTAATTTGTTAATTGAGGCCTGCCCTCCTACCTGAGTCCCTGTGTGCCCACGGCCCCGTACCACAGCGCCCCCAGAGCCAGGTACAAGTGCAGCACCACGGCACTACAGGTGACCCTCTGACCCCGAGAGAACCTGCTGTGGGGGGGGCGTTCCCATAGCGACAGCCACAGATGATGCTCCACCATCCCAAACACCAGCTGGGAGGAAAACACCCGACGAAACTGAGACAGCTCCTCTGGACCTGAGAGGAGGAAAATGCATTTATTTATTTACCAAGGAGAGTGCAGATTTATAGAAATTACTGTTAAAAAAAAAGCATATGAA